TGCTCTCTGTGTCCCCACAGATGCAGCTGGCAGCGGGACGTGGGGCTGAGCCCGGGGGGCGGCTGCTGACCCCCCTGGCCCTGCTGCTGGCGGCCACCGGGCTCTGCCTGTCCCTCTACAGTGCCCGGAGAATGGCTGACCCCGCCAAGGCCCCCCCGGAGCCGTGAGGAGGGGGCTGGGGGGGCCCTGGGGACAGTCCCGGGGGGTGTTGGGGTCCCCTCCCCGCCCCAGCGGAGCCGCGGCCGCTTTGCAGCTGACCTGCGCCACATCCAGCCCTTGCCACCGCCACGGACGCCCTGGGGACGGGGCACACGCCTGTCCCCGCCTGCCCCCGCCTCGGCAGCCGGGATGGAGAACGGAGAAGCCGCTCCCGGCTCCGGAGCTGCCGGCTGAGCCCGGCCCGAGCCGCGCGGGGACACCGGCGTGCGGCCACCAGAGCAGAGGCCGGACGGACCGACGGACAGACAGAGGGACAGGCAGAGCCGCGAGCTGCATCCCTCCCCATCCCCCATGGGAGCAGAGGGGGCTGGGGACCCCGCTGGTGGCCCCAGAGCCCCCCTGTCCCCAGGGAACGTGCTGCGGCCGCAGCCCCGCGGGAACCAGGCCAGCGCCGCGCTGTTAGGTAACGGGCAGGGGGGACACGGGGTGGTGACGTGTCCTTGGGCACATCCCACGTCCCTGGGCACATCCCGGGTCCTTGGGCACATCCCGGGTCCCTGGGCACATCCCGGGTCCCTGGGCAGGCACATCCCGCTGGGATGGCGGCTGCAGCCTTCCCAGCCCCCGCAGAGCTGCGGCTCTCCCTCCCCCGGAGCCTGGGGACACAAATCCGGGCAGGCTGCGGTGGAAATAAACCCTTCCCTACCCAGCACAGCTGTGTCACTGCTCTGTCTGCCCTTCCCAGCACGGCCCCAGCTGGGCGGGAGGAAGGAATGGGGACACGGGAGGGATGAATGGGGACAAGAACTGCGCAGGAATTCGGTGGCATCGTCACTCAGTGTCCCCTCAGGGGCACCAGCAGGAATGCAGGGAGGCTGATCCCCACTCAGCCCGGCCCTCCAGGAGCATGAAATCACTTGCAGGAGTTGAGTTTTTGGGGACAGGAGCCTCAAAGTGTCCTCACCAAGGACTCCCCCCTCGAGGCCCAAACCAGCAAACCCAAGTGCTCCATGAATAGGTCACTCAAGCTCACACTCCACACAAAAAGACAAAAAGCTGCCTGGGAACTCCCTGCCAGGAGGGCAGAGGGAATTTTCCCACCCTAACAGGCCAGATCTCCAGGATGAGGCTCCTGGCCTGGACACCTTTGGGTAATGGGGAAGAAAACAACACCGAGGTGTCCCCCACCCCTTGTGGGGACTGCCACCCTCATACTCAACACTGCCACACTGTTAGTTTGTATATTTTAATGGGTGGAATAAGCTGTGAGCCAAGCACAGAGCAGAAGCTGCTCCACAAGCAGGCACACAAGCGAGCAGTGCCAGCAGAGAACAAGCAGCGTGTCCCTTTCTGCAGGAGGGGACACTCGGGGAGGGCACCCAGGCTCCTTCTCCTCATCACTGCCCGGCCAGGGGGGCTGTGGGAGCAGCAGGGATCTGGCTCCAGTGCTGGGACATGCTTTCCTCACAGAGCTGAGCACAAAGAGGTCCTCACAGAGCCCCTGAGCCTCTCGGTCCCGCGTCCCTGCGCTCAGCCCGACGTCTCCATGTCGGTGACCTCCTCCAGGGGCTGGGTCTGCACCTCCACCTTCTGTGGGGGCACGTAGGAGCCCATGCCAGCGGCGCGCTCGGCCTCCTCCTGCGTGTACGGAGCCTCCCGCAGCTGCTTCAGCCTGGGGGCACACGGGGGGCCAAGATTCCAGCTGCCCCTGCCCGCAGGACCTGCCCAGAGCTGCCCCTGCCACCCCTCACCCCGGGGGATTCGGGGTCTGTCCCCCCAGCCCTCACCTCTTCTTGTGCACCTTGGATCGGAAGTGCTCCTTCATGCTGTTCAGGTCCACGAAGTAGCGCCTGGGGTGGGAAAGGATGGGGGTCAGGGGGACCCCGAGACTGAAGGGGGGCTGGGGAGGGTCCTGCCGAGGGGCCAGGGTCCCACCACAACCCTGCAGGGGCCTGGGGTCACCCTGAGAGCAGGACAAGGTACCCCCCAGGGGTCAGAGCCCTCTGGCCAGGGGACAGGGACCCCCAGGATCTGAGCACCCCCTTCCCAGGGGACCCCCAGGATCTGAGCACCCCCTCCCAGGGGACCCCCAGCATCTGAGCATCCCCTCCCAGGGGACCCCCAGGCCTGAGCACCCCCTCCCAGGGGACCCCCCGGATCTGAGCACCCCCTCCCAGGGGACCCCCAGCATCTGAGCACCCCCTCCCAGGGGACCCCCCGGATCTCAGCATCCCCTTCCCAGGACCCCATACCAGGAACCTCAGGGACCGGGACAACTCCCCCACCTCCCCCGGGAACCCCAGGACCAGGACAAGCCCATGCCGAGGCTGGAGCCGTCCCCCCGAGCCCCGGGATCGCCCCGGTGTGCCCCGGCGTGCCCGCCGCACGCACGCGCAGTGCAGGCAGTAGAACTGGGCGCAGCCCGGCAGGTCGGGGTCGATCTCCTGCCGCAGCAGCCGCGCGGCGTTCTCGGGCTTCAGGTCCACGTGGATCTCGTCCAGGTCGCTCGGCGACCGCTTCGTCTTGAGCTGCCGGGCCAGCGAGTGCGCCCGGTGCGCCCCGGTGCGCCGCCCGCTCCGCGGCGACATGGCGGCCGCACGCCGCGCCGCGCCGCACTGCGCAGGCGCGGGGGCTGCGGGCCCCGCCCACAAACAGCGAGCGCTATTCATGGCCACGCCCATCCGTGTAAGCCACGCCCATACCCGCCAGGCCCCGCCCCCTCGGCCCGGTGTCACCGGGACGGTCCCGGGACGGTCCCGGGATGTTCCCGTGCCCTGCGGCCCCCAGCCCCCGCTGCCACCGTCCCCGCCGCGCTCCCCCGTGTCCCCGCGCTGCCCCGCTCACCGCTGCCAGGAGCGGGCAGGGCTCGGCGCGTCCCGCCGCCTCCCGGTGCCGATCGCGTTTCGCCCGTGATCAATTATAGATGGGGACACGCGGCGGGGGGAGCGCGGAGCTCCAGCGCCTCCTCTGCCCCACGCGGGGGTGTCCCAGCCCTGGGGGTCGCAAGTGGGCCAGGGGCAGCGGGGGGCTGTGGAGGGGGGGCTCGGGATGGCTTTTGGGGGTGAGCGGAGGAGCCGCCCCCGCGCTGCCCCCTCCCGGGCCCGGGCTCAGATTCCTTTTGTGCCGTGCAAGCGGCCGCTGAAACTTTAATGAAGCCACCGGATCGCCGGGTCGCCCGCCCCGCTGCCCGCGGCTCCGCCGGCTGCGGCCCCCGAGCCCCGCCATGGCCCAGGGCTTCTGGCGGCTCTACAAGGCCAAGGTGCTGCAGAGCCTGGGGGGGCCGCGGCCCGACGGGGCCCTGCAGGACGAGGTAGGGTCGGGGGTCCCCAAAACGGGCTGCCCACCCCCCCCGCCGGCAGCCCTGCCCTCACCGGGGGCTTCGTTGCAGGGAGAGCCCCCCGAGCTGATGGAGACGGCCGAGCCCCCCGCGCTGCTGGAGGAGGGGGCCGGCCCCGTGTCGCAGCTGGCCCGGAAGGTGAGGAGGGGGCTGGGGGCAGCGGGGCCGGGGGACACCGGCAGCAGGAGGAGCCCGGTGACCCCGGCGCTGCCCCCCGCAGGTGCAGGGGGTGGGGGCCCGCGGCTGGCGGACGCTTTCGTCCCTCTTCAGCCGCGAGGACGAGCACCAGCTGCTCAGCCCGGAGCCCTGCCCAGACCAGTAAGTTACAGATCTTGGGGGGGACCCCAGAACCCCGATCCGACCCCCGGGAACTGCTCATCCCCCCCCTATCCCCCACCCCATCGCCTTCACCCCCTCCCCGGCTGCGCGGGGGGAGAGCCGGCAGGGAGGGGGACACGGCGGGCTTGGCCTTGTCCCTGCACATTTCCATCCCCTCTCTGTCCCCAGCCCTCTGGCCACCGAGCCGGCCGAGGTGCCCCACACCGAGAAGGCTCCCGGATTTTGGGATCTCTTTGCATCCAAGTGGCAGCAGGCGCCGGGGCCGGACAAGGGGGGGCCCCCCCCGGAGCCGGCCGAGAGCCCGGGGGAGCCACCGGGTGACGACGGCAGCGACCTGCGGGAGCCGGAGGAAGGAGCCTTCCACTGGGGCTTCCTGGCCGGCAAGCTGGCCGAAATCCGGAATAAAAACGCCCCCAAGGGCAACTAGAGGAGGGTGCAGCGGCAGGACTCGCCAGAAGTTATTTGCGGCTCTGCCCTGGGTTTGGGGGGGTCACAGCTGAACCAAAGACCCCGAAGGTTCCCCTTTTCCCTGAGCTCTGCCTGCTGCTTTCCTTGCCCGAGCCCCCCAACAGCCCCACGGCCCCCGAGGGTGGGGAGGGGGAGCTGCCCCCCAGCCCTGGGGCATCCCCCCCACAGCCACACACACATGCCAGGCTAGAAAAAAACACCCAAACATATTTATTGAGGGCAGCCCTGGCCCCAGCAGCCCCTGTTCTGGGGAGGAGGGGGCTGAGGGGTGGGCACTGCCCACCACGGGGGGCTCAGGCTCTGCCCACCCCCAGCCAGCAGCTGGAGCAGGACTTGGGGGGTCACTGGGGGCTGTGTGCTCATCCCACCCTCCTGGGACAGGGAGAAATTGAGGGACAGCAGGGGGACAGCAGCCTGCCAACCCTGAGCCCACGGGGACTCACCCGGGGGTGGTCCTTCCCCACCTGCCCTCAGGTGCCCCCACCATGGATCAGCCGGAGCACCTGGCAGAGCTCCCAGCCCGCAGCACCCCAGGGCACCGGGGCCACGGGTGCCACCGGGGCCAGGGGTGCCACCGGGGCCATGAGTGCCACCAGGGCCACGGGTGCCACCAGGGCCACGAGTGCCACCGGGGCCACGGGTGCCACCGGGGCCAGGGGTGCCACCGGGGCCATGAGTGCCACCGGGGCCACGGGTGTCACCAGGGCCATGGGTGCCACCAGGGCCAGGGGTGCCACCGGGGCCAGGGGTGCCACCAGGGCCACAAGTGCCACCGGGGCCACAAGTGCCACCGGGGCCAGGGGTGCCACCGGGGCCACGGGTGCCCCTCAAACACATCCCGCGAGGGGCCCGGTGCAGCCAGCGGGAGCCACGCGGGTGTCCCGGTCCCGGTGAGGTCCCCGTTCACACCGTGGACTCCTTGGCAGCCGCCCAGGCTCTCTGGCAGCCGTAGAGCCACTTGATGACACGGGCGTTGCGTTCCACCACCGACACGGCGGAGCCCGGCCGCGCGTCCGGCTCCTCCTCCGTGCCCGGCCCCGCGTCCCCCTCGCTGCCCCCCGAGGCTCTCCCGGGCTCGGAGTCGCAGGAGCCGGGCCGGGCCGAGGCGCTGTCCCAGCCCGCGGGCCCGAAGCGCTCCCGGCCCAGCAGCTCCACCTGCGCCCGGTCCAGCCCGCAGTAGTTGAAGAAGCGCTCCTGCTCCGACAGCGGCAGCGACACTCGCAGCGCCAGCGGCTCCTTCCCGGGGACACCGGGCGGCTGCTCCGCGGGCACCGCCGAGACGCCGCCGCTGTCACCGCCGCTGTCCCCTCCCGGTGTCCGCGCCGCCTCCTTCTCGGCTGGCGCCCACAGCATGGGGGTCTCGGGGCTCGGGGGGGCGCCGGGACCCTCGCCCAGCGGCCGGGCGGGGGGCGAGCTGGGCGGCGCGGCTCGGAGGGGTCCCTGGAAGAGGCGCCGCACCAGCCCGGAGCCCTTGGTGTTCTCCTTGTCGCCGGCCAGGCAGTCCCGCTTCTGCCGGTAGATGATGAGCGAGTCGGGTCGCAGCAGGCGCCGGCTGCCGCTGCGGCGGGACACGGGGGACGGCGGGCCCGGCAGCTCGGAGCCCGGGCACAGCTCGGAGCACTGCTGCCGGGCCAGCCGGCGCCGCCCGTGCGGGGACAGCCGCGGCGAGCCCCGCAGCGCCGGCTCCTGCCGCCGGCTGATCACCTGCTGCGACTTCACGTACTTGGCCTTGTCGGCCTCCAGCCGCTCCACCGCGCTGGCTCGGCGGCCCCCGCTGCCCCCCGGGCCCTGCGGGCACTCGGGACCCCGGTTCAGCCAGGCCAGGGGGGAGCCGCGGCCGGGGGCCATGAGGCGCAGGTTGCTGGAGGCGCACACGGCGAGAGTGGGGCTGCCCAAGGGCACCATGGCCCCGGAACGGCGCTGCTGGTCCCTGCGGATCGCTGCGGATCGCTGCGGATCGATGCTGATCGCTGCTGGTCCCTGCTGGTCCCTGCTGATCGATGCTGATCGCTGCTGGTCCCTGCTGATCGCTGCCGATCGCTGCTGATCGCTGCCGATCGATGCTGATCGCTGCCGATGATGCTGATCGCTGCTGATCACTGCTGATCCTGATCGCTGCTGAACCTGATAGCTGCTGATCGCTGCCGATCGATGCTGATCGCTGCTGATCCTGATCGATGCTGATCACTGCCGATCGATGCTGATCACTGCCGATCGCTCTGTGCCCTTCCCAGGGGCCGGGCAGGGCTGGTGTGGCCGCCCAGGAGGGTCCTGGAGCTTCGCTCGGCTCCTGGATTCAGTCCTGGAGGAGAGAGGAGAGTCAGGGTCGGCCCCGAGGATGCAGCGGTGAGGAGGAGGAGGAGGATGGGGCTGAAGCAGAGCTGAGGGTGCCCTCAAGGCCACACGGACAGCGAGTCCTGGCAGCCGGGGCAGGAACAGCCCCGGGCAGGAAGGGAGAAGCGCCGAGCATCCGCCGGCTTCGCCCGCATCCCAGGAGCGCCTTCCAACCGGAAAAAATAGCGGAGCCGGCCGCCGCCTTGTCTTCCCGAGCGGCAGAACAAAGCCGAGCTCAGGAGAGCGGGCGAGCTGCCCCGGGGCTGGGGGGTCCCCGAGCCGTGCCCCACACAGCCAGGCTGGGCTGGGAGGGGAGATTCTCCCTTTCTCCGCGTGCGGAGGGCACGGAACCAGCCCCGGGTGAGAGCAGGGACACGGGGCCGGGCAGAGCAGAGCTCACGGGAGCAAACAGCCCAGGAAGCCGCTGCCACGCAGCTCCACACGCAGCCCACGGGCTCCACACCGCACCCACCCCGCAGTACATGGGGGAAACTGAGGCACGCGGTGTGCCTGGCCCTGTGCTCCCCGGCTGGGACCCTCACCCTCCCCAGCCCAGCCCCGCGGCCAGGACCGGGCCAGGACCGGGCCAGGACCGTGCCAGGCCGGTGGGGGACAGCCCCGCTCACCTGAGCCCACGCAGGGATGCAGGAATGGGATGCAGGGATGGATGCTCCAGTCTCACGCAGCTCCTGCCCCTCCGGCTGCCGCGGCAAACTGAGCCCAGAGCCGGGAGCAGCCTCATATAGAGGATGAGGAAGAGGAAGAGCCACCCATTAACCCCTGCCAGCGTGACCTCCCTCACAGCCCTGCCGCTGGCCCTGGCCAGCATTAACCCCTCCCCTGCTGCAGCTCCTCTCCTCCCTCCGCTTCCTCACGGGAACCCGGCCGGGTTTCGGGATTTGCAGCGGAGATTTTTGCCTCGGAGTCTCTCTGCTCCCCTGGACGGGGCAGGTCAGGAATGGGGCAGGGAATCCGGGACCGCTGCAGCAGCTTCTCCTTGTACAGCCACCCCAGGGTGTGGGGGCAGCTCAGGAGCCGGAGCCCAGCGGGCTGCCGCGGCAAACTGAGCCGGGAGCAGCCTCATATAGAGGATGAGGAAGAGGAAGAGCCACCCATTAACCCCTGCCAGCGTGACCTCCCTCACAGCCCTGCCGCTGGCCCTGGCCAGCATTAACCCCTCCCCTGCTGCAGCTCCTCTCCTCCCTCCGCTTCCTCACGGGAACCCGGCCGGGTTTCGGGATTTGCAGCGGAGATTTTTGCCTCGGAGTCTCTCTGCTCCCCTGGACGGGGCAGGTCAGGAATGGGGCAGGGAATCCGGGACCGCTGCAGCAGCTTCTCCTTGTACAGCCACCCCAGGGTGTGGGGGCAGCTCAGGAGCCGGAGCCCAGCACAATCCCCCTCCCCAGGATCCCACCCAGGCGGGAAGGAAGGAGGAAAGGTCCTTCTGGCACCTTCTCCGGTGGCGGTGAAAGGGTCAAAGCCAGCCCCGAGCCGGCCGGTTCCTGCCTCTTCCCCCGGGAAGGGCTGTAAATCGCAGGAAGCCACAATGGGCTGGAGCTGGCCCAGGGGTTATTTTTACCACTGCCCTCTTCCCTTCCCGAGTGCTCCCACAGGGACAATCCCGGCCCCCTCCATCCCCAGCCCGGGGGGCTGCGAACGTGGCACTGGAGCAGAGGGGGAAGGACCTGCTGCCCCCGGGCTGGGCTCCCGGACCCTCGGAGAGGGGCCAGAGGAAGCCCCCGGAGCTCCCCGGGGAGGGACAGCCCCTGCACCCTCCGGCAGCCGCTTTGGACGGGGAGCCGGGGCACAGCCAGGCCGGTCACAGCCGCCGAGGAGGCTCCAGGGGGACAAAGACCCCGAATGAGGGGGGGGACCTGTCCCCGAGCGCTCTGTCCCCAGCCCAGTTCCTTCCTGAGGAGCTGCTCCGGAGCCGGTGCCGGGAATGGGGCTGTGCCCAGCTCCTTCCCGGCCGGTGGCAGGAAGGGGCTGGGGCCAGGACTGACGAAAACGGGGCTGAAATGGAACCTGGGCAGGGTGAGAGGAGCCAGGCCTTGTCTGAGCTCTGCAGGCACTGGAAAAAACTCCCAGTGACAGCAAGGAAGGGACAGACCCCCCCTCTAACAAACAGGAGAGGGGCACAGCGGGCAGCACTGTACAGGACGCGGCAGCACCGGGGCAAATCTGGAGAGGACGGGGAACAGGATCAGACCAAGAGATGGAGAAACCTCGGCAGCTCTGGGGTCTGCCCCTGGATTCCCTCACGGGAAAGGCAAACGCCACGTCCCGGGGAGGAGCCAGGGAGGCTCGGGCTTTCCTCGGGAGAGGGCAGGGCTGGGAGGCTTGTTGGACGAGTTTAAAAACCTCAAGGGTTCAAAGGGGCACGAATCAATCCGAGAGCAGCGCCCCAGCCGAGGCAGGCAGCCGCGTGTCGGTGCAGGTCGGAGCGGGAGCGCTCCCGGGGATGTTCCGACCCCAAAAGGCTCCAGAGCCAGGGCAGGGGAGGGCTGGGAGCACAGGGACAGCCGGGGGGACGGGGACAGGAGCTGCCGGGGCTGAGGGAAGCAAGCCCAGGGTCAGGATGGAAGCCTGAACCCAGCACTGCTGCAAAGGCTTTTAGGTTTTTAGGTTTCACCTGCTTCCATCCCAAACCTGAGAGTGAAGGAATGAACAAGAACAGCCCGGGCTGGGCTCCTCTTCCAGCGGTGCTCACTTTAGCGGTGCTCACTTCTAAAAATGGGGTTTCAGATTCCCCCAAATCCCTTCCAGGGCTCCTGAGCAGCACCTGCAGCAGCCCAGGCTGGTGTTCCCACCTGCCCCGTGTCCCTCTGGGTGGTTTGTGGCATTCCAGGCACATCCCTGTGCCTCCCTTGGGCCACAGCACAGAAACTGCACTTGGCAGGAAAGGGGAACGGAGCAGCCCCGGCAGCAGCACCCGCTGGAGTCGGCGTTCAAATGTCCACACTGGTTCCCCCTTCTGTCCCCAAAGCCCCAGGAGGGATCACTCTGGTTCTCCCTCCATCCCCAAAACACCAGGAGGGATCACACTGGTTCTCCCTTCTGTCCCCAAAGCTTGTGTCTCTATTTAAAATCACCACTCTCAGAACTAATCCAAAAGTGGAACTTTCTCCTTTACTACAGGTCTCTAACCCCCCCAAAAAAGTGAATCTAAAGCCAAACTGCACTGAGCTAATCACAAGGCTCCTGCCAGGTGGGCACGTGCCCATTCCAGGTGGGAATTCCTGGCACAGGAATCCAGAGGTGCTGCACAGGGCTGGGCTGGGGTTTGCTGTGGGTGTAAGAAATTCCATGAGAAACTCACTGACAGCATTTCCAGTCTGCAGATCCCTCCGTCCTGAGCGCTGCTAATTAAAACATGCAAATGAGGGCCACACTTCCCTGGCATGGATAAGTAATGATGTTTCCTCACCTTCACTGCTAAGGTTTCTCAGGGCATGTGGGAGCAGCAGGATGCTGTCCCTGGAGGGCAGCACTGACTGAAAGCACTAACCCATGAAAAATCCTAAAACTTCATCGAAATTCAAGATTTTATTTCAAAAACAGTCATGAACTTAATAAATTACACAATAATTTTCCTCATTATAAATTCTGCATAAAATATATTTTACAGTTTTTAAAGAAAAACACGGAAAAAAACCCAAAAATCTTTCCCAAGTGCTGAAAAGTGTCTTGACTTCGTGTCACGCTGGTGAACGACCCCGCAGCTGCTACAACAAACTTGATTTATTTTCTCAAAACAAAGACCTCAGACAACAAAAAAACCAAAGAGAACACAGAGCTCGAGGACTACCAGTGTCACCCAACAGCGAGGATAAGCACCATGAGAGGGATTTCAGGTACCCCCAACCTATAAAGTGGCAATCAGTGCAAAGAAACACTTTGGGAGTCAAAAACCCCAAAACTTCCCCGTGCCAGCCCCCGATTTCTGCCCTGCAGAGGGGACCCAGGAGGTTCACAGAGCACCTCAGAGGGGAGCAGTGTTATTCTGGCTCTCACTTCTGCCTGGGTAAGAGAGGGGGACGCTCACCCCTTTGTTTTTAAAAAGCTCCCAAGTCAAACATGAATTCTAAACCCCCTTTTTCTCAGTGGCCCTGCTGAGGTGTGAGAACTGGGAGGCAGAGTTGGCACAAGCAAAGTGTGTTTGCCTGAGGATGGCTCCCTAAAAGGATGAAGTGAAAGGAAATAACAAGAAATCTAAACTAAGGCCAGCTGGGGACAGCCACCAGCTCACACAGCACCAGGTGAGAGCCACGTGTGGCCTTAAAGCCTCAGAAGTTGGGTGGAATCAGAATCCTTTGCTTTTGGAAAACCAAAAAAGAACATTTTGTTTATTTGCACTCGAAGAATAAACACTGAGTGCCCAGAACTGCTGTCCCAGCACTAAGAGGGAACAGTATTCAAAAAGCAAATTGTACAAGGAAATACTTACAGCCATTTCCAGGTAAGATTTGGGTGGTGGGGGGGGGAAATTAAATTGAATTTTGTAAAGAAAACTGGCCTTTCCTGCAGCTTGAAAGGCAATTTTAAGACTCTGCTTTTTTCCCCAAGAGGTCAGACTGGATGGGAGAGGTCAGTCCTGCACCCCAGAGAACAAAGAGCTGCTGCCAGTGGCAGGTGGCCTCACGAAACCTGTCCCAGCCCCAACCTGCTGTGTGCAGGCAGAGCTGGGGACCAGCAGCTCCCAAACCCCCTCCTCCCATCC